TTCATACGTTTATTTAATAGAGTATTATCTATGCTATTAAATGACTGTATGCCATATTTGACTTTTTGGCGGGAACGCGAGGAGTGAAGTTGTGTGATTTGTTTTATTTTGTCTATTTAGTGTTTCTTCAGGTTTAAATGTGTAATAATGGTGGTTTATTAACTGTTTAATATCTGTGAAAGTGCACAAATGTGGGAAAATGAAACAAAGCTGCTGGACGTAACTTCTCGGGTTCCTCCAAAAAGTCCACTGAAAAAATCTCAGTAAACGACCACCATTTTACTGAGATTATATTTCATCCCATTTCATTTCATTTAATTTCATCCCAGTTGATTAATGTTTTAAATTAATTATCTTCATTTCATTTCACTCCATAATATCATTTTTCATAAAAATATGAATATAAATTAAAATAAGACATGACTTAAAGGTATCAGTTACCAGGTCGTAAAATCCCTTTAAAAAAGTATGCCTTATTTTCTTTATAGCAACTGCGGTCGCTCGGAGCTCGAGCTATTTGCTTAGCGGTAGGCAGCGGCTTGGCTCTGCTCCTGGCATTGCTGAAGTCCATGGGCGACAGTAACCACTTACCATTAGGTGGGCCGTACGCTCGTCTGCCTACAAAGGCAACAAAAATTTTTTGGGCTGTTTGGTATAATAGTTCCTGGCATTGGAAAACTCACTATGTCATATGTCAAAGTCAAGATTCAACCATGTCAAACTCGCAGTGATAAATTCGCAGAAGATAAAACTGCCTTTTTAAAATTAATGCATAATGTTTTTTCTAAGATATTCAACATTCTTTAAGAAGTGAAAATATGTTATTTATCGCACGATATTGACTTGCTTTCATTCAAAGCTTTAAATAAATTATTGCCTTTAAAACGCCTCCAATGTCAACAATGCCGAATAAAGGTTTGTATTCAAAAAATCGAAGCAGCTTCGCATTCTGTATGATACACTTATTTATTTAATATCCCTAGTCTTAGACCCTAGTCGTAGACCTCGGTCTTGTGTTGTAATCGATGAACTTGTATGATTTTTATTACAACTGTAAGTACAATCGGTTGAGGTGTAAATAAATATATCGAAATTGTTAAAATATTTGTATAGTATTTTTGGTAATGTATATGTACTCAAGTATCATATTTTAAACAAAACTGTGCATTACATTTTCATGCATGTGCCGTAGTGGCCAGGACCTTCGAGAAGTGACGCTTGTTGTTTGATTGTAGTATATTTTATTTTTGTGTTTGTAACATTTTGAAGTAAGTGTATGAGAGTTTTTGGTATGACTAAGACTTGTTAGATTTTGATAATGGTTAGTTTTGATTTACAAATTAGTCCTACAGGTATTGACTTAAATTGACATATATATTATTTTTAATATTAAATATCAGTATCTTTTTTAATATTAAAAATAATAATATGGTTGTGCGTTTTACTACTGCTGCTTTGCTACTGTGTTTTTTTACTAAAGTTAAGATATATATCAGGTTGCTTAAGTTTTTCTGTTCTGTGATAAATTTTAGAATCCTCTAACAACAGTTTTGATAAGCTGGAAAACTATGCAGTAAAACAAAAATGATCATCTCTTGATAAGACTCTCACTGTAATTTCTAGGTGGGACATAAATAACATTGATTTATTTAAAAAAAATTAAAAATCAATATTAGTAATTTAATTTCAGATAATATCCGTACACCAACAACTGAGGTTAAACCTTCAATCAATCCAGTGCTACAAGTAGTAACAGCTAAAAGTACAATGGTACCAATCAAAGTTGTACCTAAGGTCAGTAGTAGTTGTTACTTTGGTTTATCAGAAGCTATTCAAGGGAATGACAGTTCATTATGAATCCACATATGTCCACTGCTGAATTTATGTCTCTGTTAAGATTCACAATAATGACTGTTAGCTGCCTGCATTAGAAAAATGAGGTTTAACATATCCTAAAGCTCTTGTAGTAATTTAGTGAAACCATTAATAGATAAAATTTAATGGGAGTGTGCAGCAGAACGCACCTTGATTTATTAGATTATATTAGATTTATAATGCAAATCGGTAAATAATAAGCTAAGATTATTTTTTATTTGTTAATAATATAAAGATTCAGTTAATGAGTCATTCAAAGAGCACAGTAAAAGTCACATTATTAATTATAAGCATATTTATTAAATAAGATATTGATATGTTTTATTAATGGTTTGTTGACTAGTTTATCAACATCGATGGCAAAGTTAAAATCTAGGTGATTAAATTTAGGCCATATACAGCTTTTAAGATGTACTGATGTTGTTCTGTTGAGTTTCTCGGCCAAACGCATTATTTGCTGTAAACAATACAAATTTTAATTACAAATACACAAACAATTTTCCTCCCACATATGATTCACGTGCATAATGCGTTCTAGATCCAAGCCTCAGACACTGTATAAGATTGTGGTTTTTTTTCTACCTATTTGCTGGTATGCCTGGATGGGTGGGTGAGTTCACTGGCTCAAACTGAGAGAATTTGCCAATATTAGTCCTAGCAAGAGCAATGCTTTGCAGAATCTACCACTAGTCGCAGAGTCGCGACCTGCTGAGAAGATTCAGCTACAAACTCAGTGGGCTTGTATGATGTGTTCATAGTCATATCGCCACAGTTATGGCCATCAAGGGTTTGGGAAATAGTAGCAATTGCTATATTTTGTTTGTCTTGTGTCTTATTTATAACAACCTGACATTTAAATTATAACTTGAGCTATGATTTGAAGGATCAAATAGTTCTAATTCCAATGGCACAGAGACCTCATATAGCAAGTCTCACTTCAGTAGTGATCAACTGTGTGTGGGTAATATTATTTTTCAGCACCTGGTCTGTGGATGCATCTTACAAGCTATGCAAAAAAACAAGTACTTACAGCTCGTTCAGTTAGCTGATCATTTTCACCTAATATTAGTGTTACTGGTACTTGCACGTTTGATAGATTGTATGGCTTCACCGCTCCCCACAGACCATCTTCCCATGACGTAAATTCTCCTGTAAAAAATTTTTTTATTACTACTCATACATATTTAAATTAGCATATACAGAGTGAAGCTGCGCCCGTGGCGTCTATGGCGTCCTTGCGCGAAAGTGACCACTCGCCATCAGATGGGCTGTACGATAGTGTCAACCTATGCAAATAAAAATAAGGCTTAACTGTGTGTGACCAACACAATGTTAAACAAAAGTTTATTAGGGCTTATTAAAATAAATAAATTGAGAAAAATGTTCAACTAAACAATGATATCAATTTCAAACTTAAACTCAGAACATTAATTTTCATTTTGACTTACCTGTCAAAGCTATTTTCCCATAATGCTCGATCTGTCTCCAAGAGGCCGGCTCCATTCTTGCCACCAACATATACCTTACGTCCTGTCAAGATATTGAATATTTATAACATAATCGACAAGCTTAGACATTAAAGGGCCAATAACATTCAACATAGTCGCTAAGATTACTTTATTACTTATTCGATTGACAAACTACGGATAAAACAATACACCGCCTTATACAACATTCCGTTCTTTATTTTCGGTTTTGTTTTATTTATGCATGCATATTTATTTACGTATGAGTCTTGTCTACCGATTCTTTGGTTCTACCAAAGAATCGGTAGACAAGACTCGTATGAGACAAGACTAGGTATGAGCGTTAGGATATTAATTTAATAAACTACCAATGAATTTAAGAGACCTAGACGATTTTCATTTTAAGAAAAAGATAATCTTATTTGTGAAAATTATTATCACATAAATGATTTTCTTAGGGACGACATTGAAAATAAATGGATTTTTTTAATTATTAGTTGAATTGTGAACGAATGAATGGTAAATTATATAATATTATAATATCTTGCACTGCACTAAAATTCGCATGACAAAGCATACACGCTGCTTTTAACTTACGTAATAACTCATTTTCATTATGCTTGGCGAATAAATGATTTCTTTCTTTCTTCAAAAAAGCGGCGCGACAGTCGAAGTCTCGTATCGTGGCCGCCGCAAATTACATACACGATTCAGACGAACGAACGAACGACACACAGTCGCCGTCGCCCTAAACACGTCATTTGGAATCCTCCCCATCCACTCTCGATGCTTTTAAGCATTCCAAGAACCCCTCACTGTCATCGTCGAACTCGTCGAATGCGACGGATCTCGCGAAAGGTTTCAGCGTACAACTTAATCTACACACGCAGCCCACTGAGCTTCTGGCTGGATCTTCTCAGTAGATCGTGAATTCGATCGGATAGATAATGCGAGCACTGCTCTTGCTAGGGCAGATGTTAGCACGCAAGTTACTCAGACTGAGCCTCTATATTCCTATCCTATACATCCTAGCCTGTACATTCGAAGAAGCTATCTAGACCTCATGAGGTTACTAGCAGTAAACTAGCACAAAAAGACTACAGATTACATGTACTTCACTAGCTGTGATTAGTGATGGCGACGATCTTACCAAGTAAATGTCTCTTAATCTAACCGCGACATACTCAAGATATAACATTTCCGTAACTTCGAACAAACAGCGGCGCTGACTTTAAGACTGCAGTTATCACTTCGAAGGTTCCACGAGGAACCGCAGATCACCACATCATTAAGTAGGTCGTAAGTCTAATTTTGTAAAGAATAAAAAAAACTCACCGGATCGGTCTGTTCATTGTCTTCTCCGACTACAAGGTTTATAAGCGACGAGCACACATCAGTCTTTGGGTTCCTAAAGTTGCATAAAGTTCCTAAGAACTTTTTGAATTCTGGTTCGAATGTTGCTGATATAAATCCTCTCGATCGCATTATATCCTGGAATTTGAAAACGCTATTACACTAAAACTAGCTATATGTTATCTATTAATATTGTATAGTTAAGTATATTTTAATAAAGGAATGGACGGGGTTGAATTTAATCAGAATGTTCACTTGAGGAAAATTCGTTAAAGATGCATTCTCTTACTGGGAAAAAAACAAACAATATGCGATGTGCAATAGAGTTTCCGTGTTTGGAAGAAATCTTAGTTACTAAAAAGCGTGCTGTGAAAATTTGAAGGGGCTTTTCAGTGTTGGCCGTTACAGCAGTCCAGGGGCACTCGATTGCTCTTGAGAACGTCCCGAAGGCACGGCAGAATACCAACTGTTTACTCCATGGATCCGCTACCGGATATCGGTGCTTTTCTTAATATTTTTTTAAATTATTTATGATAGAATACTTACGGGTATGTTCATATTCTTCAAAAACATAGTCGCCAGTGGCTTGACGTTGTCCAGATATACGGCAGGGGCCAGAGCAATGAAAGATACGATTTTGCTTTTGTATTCTGGATGTGAGGACATGAACGTGAAGAAGGTGGTTGTTCCCATAGAATATCCTATGTATATTATCTTCTGGTGGCCTGTCACGTTAAGGACTTTGTCTATCATGGCTGGTGCGTCGTATTTACCATGCTCTTCGAAGCTAAAATATCGTTATGTAATATAGTCATGTTATAGTCCGAAATGCAATAGTTTTTATTCAGTCTTAACTCTGATTCTTTGTAAAAGTTGGAGCTCTCAACGCTATGGTCTGTTGTCTCCAGTACCCACATAATACTAAGCGAACTATGAAGTTTTTCTCAATAGACAAAGATAAGTCACACGTCGTAGCCTACGCGCACCACGATGTAAAATTCGCATTTTACCTCGAGACATACGAATTTCGAAGGCAAAATAGTCATTTTCACTATCATTGTTCATTGTTCATGAGAAAATTAACTAATTTGACTGGCACCTGTCACCCTACCCATTTCCGATCCTCAGATGAGATAGACTCAGCCAAGGCAGGTTGTGGGCAAGGTGGCTCCTTCTATCGAAGTGCATCACTCCCCGCCATCCTACCCCCCACGTCAATCCATCCATCATTAATCATAATATGTATGTTAATTGGTGGCAGGATATGTTGGTGTGAGTCGATTGTTGTGTCGTGGTTTAGTATAAAAGTTCCTTCAGTAAATTTTCAACATCAGCTAGGTCGTTACTAGTAGGCTTCGATTGCTCTGCCCTTTGCTTTAATGCTTTCCTTTCCAGGAGTAAAGCTTGAAAGCTTACCTAAATTCCCAAAATCTTGGATCGCTTCTATTCAGTGTTGTGTGACCTGTGTAGTAGTTCCCTCTCAGATTACCCAGCCACACGTCGAAACCGGCATCAGCCAACATATAACCTGTAAATAAAGTTAATTTACTGCATTTAGGATTTAAATTTGCTTGTAAAAAGTACAATGAGTTAGGCGACCTGGGATGGTTGACGCTGCGCCGTACGCATAGACATTCTAGCGCGTTGGGACGAGGAGTACGAAGAGGAGACGTGTTTCGGGCGTCCTAGGGGCGGTGGCGCAAGTTTGGTTGTAATGTGGACCACGAGAGCCTATTTACTCTTTACCAGATTCTGATCTCGCGCAGAGATGGGACATAGGGTGAGAGAGTGCAAGGGGAATCGGGTAGGGTCCTAAAACACTTTGGGCCTGCGTTCTGCTCCCAAAGTCTATAGACCGTCGTCCCACATACTCCGCGCGTCGCCGAGGCGCGGTCACCTCGAATAAGGTTCAGCCAACAGCCCAAAACAAAAAGAAATGCTGCCACTCAGTCATATTTCGACCGTGTACAGTACAGTACAGTACAGTGTACAGTAATTACCACGGGTGATTAAGAGATTGACCGAAGAATGATCAACAGCGTTGTCTGAGCATTTTACCAGAGTAGGTACTCATCCTCAGGCATTTACTGAAGGAACGGCGTATTGTCAGACCGCATGGGTGGGTGTCACTATCCGGACTGTTGTTGCTGCGAAGCAGTCATGCGTTCCGGATAGCACAGACGTTGCACAATGAAATTGAACTCGTTCACGCATCTAAGCATCACACATACAGAGCTCAACAAAAAGTGGCCATCAGAGGACGGGCCAAATTATAATTACTCAAGAAAAAAAGAAATATACATATCTCAATTTTTTTTGTTACAAAAAAAACTTGAGATGCCTCGAATATTGACACACACGCCTGTATCATTATAATTCGGTGACAAAAAAATTTAATAATTACTATAATCTTAATGATGCAATAAATTAATAAAATGATTTTAAAATTGTGTCATTTGCTTTCATTCATTCAACAGTCTTCAAGAATAAATAATCTGTTTTGGGCACATCACAAAAGTGATTAATATTTACACAAAACAAGTTATAACATTTGATTCTTGTTTAGAAATAGTACGTATTATTTTTTGTGGTTAGTTTTCCTAAAGTATTATTCCATTTTGGAATCTTGGATAGTAGCGTGAATTTAAGTAAGTTTTAAGTATTTTGGTGGATAGCAGAGTTGCTTAAGTTACTAATAAAAAAAAAGATAGAAATATTTGAAAAACTGTGATCCATGATAGTTTAAAATAGCTTAAGAGGTGTCCATTTTCAAAGGATCTCAAGCTATTTTTGTAATTTCATAAAAATATTGAGTTTTTTCTTTTACTTTTTGCTCCAGTAGTTATGAGCAAATCCACCAGGTGTCCGATTGTCACACATAAAATAAAATAAAAAGGAAGTCTGTATGCTTTGTACTGAATACGAACCTAAACTTTTTTTTCTACCCATCGTAATGAAATCTCCACTGCTACCAAAAAGTCCATGGATTAATAACAATGCATTTTTGCCTTTACTTTGCTGATCAGCAGTTTTTCTAGGCGACCGTCTACCGGCCGGGATCCTGTGCATCTGTAGAATATAGTCGTCACGAGTCGTCACCTGGTGTCGCTCGACCGGATAGTCGTTGGATGCTATCAGTTTAGGCTGCGGAAAGGAATTGTTATAATTAGAATTTGGCTTCAAATTGTCATAAGGGACACATTCGATGGAGGAATAACTCGTAATAAAATAGTGTCGTATACTGATAGCCATTAGGCTTGTGTAATTAGTGATGATATAACTCAATGAATTAATCTGATACTGCCGTCCAGTTCAACTTGTTTTTTTCTTCGAAATTAGTCAAATCAAAAAGGAAATTCATTTCAATATAGTTTTGAGAGCTTTTTTGACTTAACGGCATATAAAGTATAAACAAACACGCATTCCGCGTACGACTACTAGTTCTGTTCGCCAAGGCTTCCTAAAACCAAACGAGTTTCCTTAGATTATATCTTAATTGAAAATTAAATAATTCTGTTATGTAAATGGTAATTCGACATTCATATCGTGCTCGTGGTCGTATCGTATGCATTTCGATTGGGATGGTTCAGGATCGAGTCTGGGCACGCAACATCAGCTTTAGTATTTCCATCAGTTAGGTACATAGATGTAGTGTGAAATGTATGTATGCTCGCTGCCTTTAGCTTTACTTTTCTTTGTCCTGTGTGCCGGAATACATTCGAGATAAGAACACGTACAGACCTTTGAACGCTAGACCCCTCATTAAATTCAGGTTCATTATGAAAACAACAAAGAAACAGTTTAATGTTTATCACAGGTCATCAGTGCTCATTAACAACCATCGTTTTTAAACCAAACCTTACACACGGCACACGATGTATTGCTCTCGTTGGGTAGACGAACTCAAAGCCCGTTTGGTGTTAAGTGGTTTCGGATCGCAAGACGCCCCGTTATGAATGCCGCATGGCGGGTGCCTTGAGTTATGAGCGTATCAAATTTCCCACCCTTCGAAATACGTCCTGAGCGAGAGATAAATTCCCCGATCATTATGTTCTCGCCATCAAGCTGTCAAAGTCCTAGTCTGAAGGGCGGGGTAGTTATTATTCTAATTAACTCTTTAGGTGCTTTGATGCAGGTATTTGGATTTTACGTCCGAATGCAGACGGCGGCACTCCGCCTATGATGTGTACTGGTTCTGGTAACCTCCACACGTCACGTTGTCTACTAGTTTTTCTAGTATACGTCATAGACTTGTGCAAAAATAAAATCGTGTTTCTTTTTCTGTTATACAACAACCTATAATATTTACAAAACTCGTCAGGGTCACCTATTATTTTGACGTTCGAGTCGAGACACGTCTGATCGTCAGGTGCCACGGGCCGCTAACGAATTGGGGAATATATAAATGTGGCTCACGTCTTACGTGTGTCACGTATATTCGCATGCCTTTGTGATGCTTCCTTCTTCTTTGTCGAGATGAACGAGATTGGGGCATTGCTTCGTGACAATCGAAATACACGTAAACAGAAGAATGCTGTTTGTTTGTTTGTCAGTTTGCTCTGTGCCATTAAATAACTTAGTAGAGAACTTCAGTCTCTTGTGCTTGCGACTTCATTCTTGGTGGTAGTACGAAGCAATGATTTTACGGAAAATGTTTTAAGGAAAACGGTTACCATAGATTTCTGAAGCTCCCACTATAACTACTATGTTAGTCTGTTTACTGGTAAAAGAACGTATCTTAACTGTCCCACCCGATTGGGCCATCGTATTACCTAAGTACTGAAACATCTCATTTCTCAGGGTGGTCATATAGGCTCTGGGTTCCGGTGATCGCGAATCCAGAAATACCGTCAACTCGTGCGTGTTTCGATACCATACCATACAACCATAGTGACGAACGCGGGCTATTTTGCGCCTTTTTTATATTCAAAACTAGCTGACCTGGCAGACTTCGTAGTGCCTCAATCGAAAACTAAAAGACCTAAACTTTTGTATAAAATAAACTTAAAACAAACAAAAGGAATCCGTCCAATACATCCAAAGGAAAACCGAAATTGTTATTTTTGTTTAATTCCGAGCATTTTCATATTTATCTACCTTTTAAACCTTCTCTGGATTCCCACAAATAATTCAAGACCAAAATTAGCCAAATCGGTCCAGCTGTTCTTGAGTTTTAGCGAGACTAACGAACAGCAATTCATTTTTAAATATATTCAAAATAATAAATGAATTAAGGCTTAAAATGGAAAATAATAAAAAAGGCTTCCGTCATTCCGAACACATAGTAAACGTGTATACCATACATTTAATTAGTATTCTTATGTCGTCACTTAATAATATATTCTTTTTTTATTGATCTACTTTATTTCCAAAATAGTTGTATGTACCGGTTTTTATTTAATTCCGGGAATGGATGCACGAACTTACGACCCCCTGGTGCTGTGTGTGTACATCTAGACATCACAACGTGATCGCCATTAACCTTCTTGAGAATGAGGTCCCAGTATCCATTGTATTGAACAATGGCTCACCCTTCAGATGGTATGAGTGCCATTGCGGCAGAAATTAGACAAGACGGGGCACCTTCCACCCCCACGTTCTCTGTATCAAAAACAATAAAAAAGACTTACCGTGGACATGAACATTTCATTTTTGCTGATCTGAGATTCACTTCTCATCACGACAAACGATAATACTAAAGACACCGATAATATTTTATTACACATTATTGTCATGAATCTCGGTACTTTTTCATAAAACGTGTAAAATCAAGAAATTTTGGATATCGGTTTAATGTTTTTATGTGATCGCGTGTGCTCAATGTCAAGTTGTTAATACTCTTGGAAGGATCGTGTTGATTGCCTACGGCGTTAGTGTCGTCCCTCTTGCGAACGATACGGGTTAATAAAGATATCGCTCCAGTGCATTGCTTTATATACTGCTGTATATATATTAGCTTTATATACTCGAGTCTTCTATTTTTTGCAATAAATTTTATGCATGGAATGTATTTAAAAATGAATACAAATTGTTTGGTACGAATATCATGCTAAAAGTACTTGATCGATTTTGATAGCTTTTTTTTGGAACCTAGCCTATATAAGGTATATATTTTTATCTTTTGTGTGTATAGTTTTATGTGTAGCTGTCCCTTGTTCTCTCATAGTTCCTAAAGTTGGGGATGGAGGATATATAATATAATAAATTAAATAATAATGTTAATAAATTTAATATATTAAATAGCTAATAAAAAAATGATAACGCTGATAAAAATGAATAAAGTTATTATTAATTTTGGAGGGACTGCCACAGATTAGTAGATCGGAACTGGAAATGAATGTTAAGACAGTTTGCGTGACCATTCTGTTAATCTCGGAGTGCCAGTAGGAAGATAAAACGGAGACCTATAAAAAATGTACGATTTTATTTATTGCCCCTGTAGGCAGACGAGCATACGGCCCACCTGATGGTGAGTGGTTACCGTCGCTCATGGACGTCAGCAATGCCAGGGGCAGAGCCAAGCCGCTGCTTACTGTTTAATATTCTCCACAAGCCTCGTTTGAAGAAGGGCATGTCATGGCGCTCGGGAAACACCCTGGAGGGGAGTTCATTCCAAAGCCAGATGGTACGTGGCAAAAAAGATCTCTGGAAACACACTGGATGAACGCAGTGGCTCCAGGTAGTATGGATGAACTCTACTCCGGGCGGTGCGATGGTAAAAACGAGATGATGGTATCGTCTCAAACAATTCCTCAGAGTACTCGCTATGGAACACACGGTACAGAATACAGAAGCAATTGAAGTCCCTCCGTAGACCCAGAGGTTCCGAACGACCTGAGAGAATGGAATTATCGAAAATCCCAACGGCTCTCTTTTGCATGGAGTTAAATGGAGTGGAAGTAGCTGGTATTTGGGAGACCCGGTCCAGAGATGGGAGCAGTACTCCACGCGAGGCTGGACTTGTGCTTTATAAAGCAAAAGTCTTTGTCCAGGCGTGAAGTACCGCTTCCCTCTGTTGAGGACTCCCAGCATTTTTGACAACAGCTTGGCTTTACCCTCCAAATGACTCCGAAATAGGACACCGCTCGAAATATCGATCTCAAGTATCCTAATACTCTTGGAAGGTTGCAGGATACTCCTTGGAATTGCGCCACCATGACAAAGGGGTCCTTCTTCGCAGTGAATTGAACTTAGTTCGATTCACCCCACTCGGAGACTCGCCCCAGAGAGTTCTCCACTTCAGACACAAGTTTAGATCGTCTCTCCTGCACCACGCTCCGAGAATGACTGACGGCCGATATATCATGCATCCCCCGTATTCATGCCCATAGCAATGCATGCCATCAACAGGTAGCATACCATTGATATACCGGATGAGGATCGTGGGGGAGAGCACCGAACCTGGTAGAACGCAAGCGTTAATGGTCATGATATCGGAGTAGCAACCGTCTTCAACTACAGTGATGCTCCGCCCATCCAAAAAGCTAGCGATCCACTTGCAGTTTTTCAGAGACTCAGAGTTTATATAAAAATTAAACTTCCGAAAATGCATATGATTTGAAGCCTTTAAGTTGCCTTTAAGTGGATGAAAATCAGTGGTGACATTGTACCATATATTGATTATGACTGTGATGGGCACATTTGTACCCTCCGATAGATCATTTCCGAAAGCGGTGCAGGAGCTAAAGCAACAGAAAAATTGCAACAAAAAAGATAGAGAGAGGCAAAAGAGCAAAAGATTAAATGAAATTTGAATTTTACAAAGTGCGCATAACAAAAAAAGAAGAGATTCTTTAATATTGTAATGAGGTATCACTATTTTTTTCCAGACTTGCAAGTAAAATGTATTTTTTTTCCTAATAAATTCTAATTTGTTAAGAATTTTTATTGTCATTGCGCGTATATTATTATGTGTGTCGTAATAGTCACGAATTTTTTGTTGCTATGCTTACATATGAAGCAAACACGTGCTCTTTCGTGAAGAGTGGGGTTTTTTTATTTTATGGTGGGTGGCAGCATTCTCGGCGTGATATTTATGGGCTTCGATAGTAGCTTAACCGTTAATCTATGTGCTAGCTCGCTGATCTCTTGGAATATAAAGAATCACTCGTAACTTTTTACTGGTGGTAGGACCTCTTGTGAGTCCACGCGGGTAGGTACCACCGCCCTGCCTATTTCTGCCGTGAAGCAGTAATGCGTTTCGGTTTGAAGGATGGGGCAGCCGTTGTAACTATACTTGAGACCTTAGAACTTATATCTCAAGGTGGGTGGCGCATTTACATTGTAGATGTCCATGGGCTCCAGTAACCACTTAACATCAGGTCGGCTGTGAGCTCGTCCACCCATCAAAGCAATAAATTCAGATACAGCTTGCATAATTCATATTTACAGTAGTTCGACACCTCGCACCTGTTGTTAAGCCATAGTTTCGCTTGCAGTGGCGGGCCAGTTGTGGCTTATTGCTAACAGACACATCGGTGAATAACAATAAATAGGATTTTATTAATACGCTCGTAATAAAGTCGGATTACGTGCGACTTGATATGAACGTGTCGTGTGTTTGATACTTGATATGCATTTTGTCGTCTGGATAATGTTCAGTACTTTTTTTACTGACTAAGCTGAACAAATGAGCTCAAACTCCATCTGATGTTAAATGATTATCGGAGCTCGCAGACAAAGTCATCTTTGGAACTGCTGCTTTCGTTGGGAATGCTCTTCCGAAGATATCTCATGGCTAATACAAAGATCGCTGTTGATGTTCTAGAATGATTTATGTACGAGTATTTTTCCTAAACTCAATTATCCTTTAAATTATTAATCACTAATTAATTGTATTTTGATCGTTTCCGAAGAATCGAGTGGCATCATCGCGTTCTTATCAAGATATTTGAACATTCCGTGTATTAAGCAATAAGGCTCATTACTAGTTATAACGATAATCTTACTGAGCGGTAACAATGCAATTACTAAATATCGAAACTCAGATTTTATTATACAACTTAGTTATGTTTACGAGTATATTAAATGGGAATGAATTATCTAACACTTGTTCAGAATACGTTAAGGTTTAAATGCTCTAGTGATCAGTGTGCTTAGTGCGAGTTTTTTTACATTACACGATAAAGAATAATTATTTTAATTTTAGTTCAGCTTACTACATTTACTTATTTTACACGACACTATTAAAATTGTACAAGTAAATTACACGGTAACTATGCACTTGGTCTGGTGATTAGATCTTTGTAGTGCACAGTATCTGAAAGTTTACTTGTGGTGTTTTTTTCGCAATTATATAGGGGCTTGGTTGTACCCTTGACATTGCTTGCTGGCTGGTGGTTGCTTATCATCAGCTGGACCGTTTGCTCATTTACCTACTACCTATGTTGATAAAACAGTGATCTAAATGAAATCGTTTCTAGTATTAAATCCTTATAGACAGCCAGGAATACTAATACCGAGAGCTACTGTTATTGGAACTCAGCTCCAATTGATGTTCGGTCGGTTTTCGGTCATGTTCCTAAGTCGCGAGAACAACAATGATTATTAGAATCACACTAGCTGTAGCCATCTGCTTCGCTGGGCATTTAAAATTAACATTATTATTTCTCACCCCCACAAAGATTCTCATCATTAATGCCCCCGCAACTGGTGTAGGGAGTCCAACAAATATTAGCCTATCCATTAAGCACATGTATTTTCTACATGGAAACAAAGTTTCAAGTCAATCGGATGCATGTTTTAGTAATTATAAGGGAACATCCGTAAAAACCACTGTAGATTTATATATTAGTATAGATGAGACATTGATGAAATGATCAAAAAATCATATTATCAAATAACGTTGTCGCAGGCGATGAAAGAGACACCCATGTCTCCTCCGTCGATGAGCCCAGCCGACACGGAGCGCACGGAGCTGCTGGGGTCGTTGACCACGCAGCAGCAGCAGAGGACCAGCGCAAGGGTCATCAAGAAGCTAAAGCTCGAGCCGCAAGGAGACAAGAGGGTCGCCAAGAGATCGGAAGGCGCTTCCGATGGTATGTACCACTGCTGAATAACTAGCCACCACTCCTAGTATTTTCGTTGTCTGTGATATTTAATTACTGTTCTATAGAAATATGTTAGGGCAGTTACAAATAAATAACAAAGAATCTTGTTCAATAACTACTATGATAACATTATATACAGTAATATTTAATGAGTTCCCTACAATTCGGCGGTTTAAAATCGTGGTAAGGACGTTAAATAATAGTATATCTAAAACAATTTCTGTGATTATAATATATGAGTCCGGAGGAACTCTGTCATTGCTCTCTGCTGTGCACAATTACATTCATTAACTCTTTGACTTCCATGTCTTCAGTGCGCCGCGTAGGGCACCGGTGACCTATCTACATGGCAGTCAACGAGTTAATAAACACTTGTTGGATTGTACCAACTCACGAAGTTTTAACCAAGTTACTAGTAATAACTTGAAGAGAGCAGAGTTGTAAACCTTGTATGAACATTTTTTAAGCTATTGCATAGCTTCTATCGCGGGCCTTAAGCGTGGAGACTGAATCAAGAAATTCCGTAACGAAAAAAACCTAACACCCCTCACGCCACCTATCATGTAGCTCGCGTTCAACACACGTTGCGCTTGTGTAGTGTTTGTGAATAAGCGCGTGGCGTGACGTCACACTGCATGCGCATCATGAAAAGTCTGCCCATCTCTCTCTCGCGCGGTCTAGCTTATGAGTGTGAAGGGGACAGTTAAGGTTTTGCTTTTATTGATTTCTTTTTTTTTGTTTTAGTTATTTGATTTTTTTAAATTTTGTACCAGTAATTGGATTCTTTGCATAAGCCGACTTCTTGAACTATTTATACTTTTTTATTTGCATAAATGGGTGGACGAGCTCACGGCCCACCTGGTGTTAAGTG